TGCCCAGGGAAGTGGTGGAGTCACCATCCCTGGAGATGTTTAAAAGATGAGTCGATGAGGTCCTTAGTGACACAGTTTAGTGGTGGACCTGGCATTGCTACAGTAATGGTTGAAGTCAGTGATCCTAAAAGTCTTTTCCAACCTAAACATTTCTATGATTCTATGATCTTTGCTTCTCCAAATGGATACTTCGGTGGTCCCTTGTTCTGATGGTACTTGCAGTGTTAGTGATCTGAATCATTCTCTGAGGCTGAGGTAGCTAGTTCTGCCTGACTCTGGCTTTAGGCAGTTAAGCGTAGCACCTGCTGTTTCTAAGAGTTTTGCAGCTGTATTATTTCCAGCATAAGCCTGAGGTAAATATGATTCTATTTTACAGTTGGAGAACCTAGAGGTCTGATCAGATAAGTGACTTGAAAAATGTTTCACAAGTTACAGTCATGGTTGAGAGGAAAAGTCAGGTATTATGGCTACTAGTCTTGCTTTGGAAAAATGTCATTCAGCATTTAAACTGTAGTTCTGCTCTGGTCCTTGAGATGAAAGGTTTCTGTGTTATCCCCTTGTGGCTCTTAATCTCATCCTCATCCGCCACACAGCTTGCATAAAAGGGGGTCTTCCACAGAGGCATCTACAAGCTGTTCAGAAAATAGATGACAAATGTTTTTTCTTTAAAACTGTTCTGACCTTGCAGTTCTGCTCTTCTTGGTATTGCTTTTTCTGCTTGCTCCTTGTAAAAGAGAATGGTTTGATGAGGTTTCTCTGCAGTGAGGCAAATGAGCAAGCCTGCAGATGGTGGTGGAATCAAGCTCTTGTCCTCAGTGCCCGTCTGTGCTTCTTTCTTTAGGAATGACCATGGAAGTGCTTGGGACCTTGATTGGAGCTGCACTTCAGGGACAGATTGTGGCCAGTGCTCATGTCTCTCATCACTGCACTGTGAGTCCCCCAGTAAACACAACTGACTCCTGGCATGACAGTCCCAGCTTTCCAGACCCCTCAGATCCCCTGTCTCACCAAGTAAGTGTTTATGGGAGTACACTAAAATCTCTTGGGGAGAAGGGTGTTTCTGTAACACCGTGTTGTATCATCCAGCTGGATGAGCACAAACATGACTTCCTTGAAATCACTAACGCTGGAGCCGAGATGGGGACCTTGCTGCAAACAAGGCTTCCTGTCTGTTGTCTTTGCACTTCCTTCGCAGCGTGACAGCAGAATGACACTGAAGAGCTTTGCTGAAGATGCCAAACTGTGAAGTAGCTAGGAGGCATATGGCCGTCCTTTGTTTTCACTAGGGGCTGGTTTACAGTTTCAAACAGAAGCTTAGTAAGAACAGCTTACTTTATCCCACCAGGCATCCAGTCTAGGGGACCCCAGCATAAGAAAGACATGGACCTGTTAGAGTGTGTCCAGAGGGCCACAGAAATGGTCAGAGGGTTGGAATACCTCTCCTGTGAAGAATGGCTGAGAGAGCTGGGGTTGTTCAACCTAGAGAAGAGAAAGCTCCGACGAGACCTTATCATAGTCTTCCGGTATATAAAGGAGGTTTATAAGAAAGATGGAGAAAGACCTTTTTACCAGGGCCTGTAGTGACACGACAAGGGACAGTGGTTTTAAACTGAAAGAGGGTTAGATATAAGGTTAGATATAGATAGATAGATAGATAGATAGATAGATAGATATAGATAGATAAATATAGATATATATATATAGAGAGAGAGATAGATAGATAGATATAGATATAAGGTTAGATATAGATAGATATATATAGATATAAGGTTAGATATAGATAGATATATATAGATATAAGGTTAGATATAAGGAAGAAATTTGAGGGTGGTGAAGCACTGGAACAAGTTGCCCAGAAAAGTTGTGGAAACCCTCTCTCTGGAACTGTTCAAGGCCAGACTGGACAGAGTTTTGAGGAACCTGGTCTATAGAAGGTGTCCCTTCCCGTGGCAGCAGGATTAGACTAGCTGATCCTTAAAGTCTCTTCCATCACAGATAATTCTGTGATTCTATGAAAAAATGGTGACTATAGCAGGATTTTTCAGTTCAGCAACACTGCTTTTCAAAGTAGTTATCACTAGGGATCTCCTGTAAAGATTAATGGCTGCTATGTGAACAGAACTGTAAGTCCTACTTGGAATCTGTATTTTTTGAAGGTACAAAGCACTGTTGAAAGAAAATGGTTGGTAGCAGGCAGTTAGTGGGAGCATGATTCAGGGTTAACGTGTGGAATGAACCTAGAGGTCCATGCTTTTTTATTTCATTTTCCACAGCAGATTTTTCCTGTAATCCTGCAGAAGTAGTTTACTCTTTTCATGCTTCAATTTGCTAATTTTTTGAGAAACAGAGAGACCATTTTATATCTAGGAGGGAATCCTAAAACTTGATCCACACCTCAGTGAACACAATTTAATAATCTTCCATTGTTTCCAGTGGTCTTGAAACAGGCCCTGAATCAACCAGTTATCTTGTGGAGTGTGTTTTTTTTCTATGTCGCTTGTGAAATCAGCAGTTTGTTGGTTCCGTTTTACCAATTGCTAGACTCAATCTTTCTTTTTATATTTTCATCTGTTTCTCTGTCAGTGCACATACTTACTGATACATAAAATTCCCCATGAAGAAGATTCCCTGACCTGAGTCTAATCTCATCTGCTTGGTGCAAATCAGGTTGTACATATCTGTGCTCTGCTTATTGTAGTTGAATAGCTCCTATTGCCATTCTTCAGCAGCAGTGAAATCTCAAGCTAAGGCGTGTTTTCATTCATGCTTTGAATTTGCATACCCTGGGACCAGCACTGGTAGTCCAGGAAGGAGATCAGCCCTTGCCTCCCCCAACTCCCAGACATTATTTTCTGCCTCTGTGCTACTAGATCCTTGGGGTTTGGCACAGGTCATTGTAAGGCTTCACAGGCTGCTGATCTGAGAAAGTGCCTGGGGAGAGCTGGGCTGCTTTTGTAAGTAGCTGGGCCATTTTATAGCTGATAAAAGCATTTTTTAAGCTGCTTTTTAGGTAGCTTCTAGTGTATATTTTAACAAGAAACAGAACATCATCCTGTCATCCTTTTTAACTTCTAGGACAGTGGCCTGATGTAGACATGTGTTGTGCTATTACAGCTCTATAAATTACCAAGAGGTGTAGCTTGAGAAATTGTGGCGCAAGCTGAATTTCCTTGCACAGCAGATTCCCTGTTGGCATCTGCTTTATGCCATAATCACCAACTTCCACTTTCAAATCTCCTAAATGGCTTTCAAGGGAAAAAAATACATTATCTTGATTTATTTTGGTTTAGTCTAACCACGTGTGCTTTCCTGTCCTTTTTGTGATACGAGGGAGAGGGAGAAAGAAGTTTCACAATGAGCTGAATGTAAAGTAGTATTTGTTGTGGAAAAATAGCAGAGATACATAACCTAAAGTAGGTTTTGTAGGTAGAAGTAATATCTTTCATTAAACCAGCTACTAACACTGGGAAACAGTGGAAGAGCCTTTAGACATGCATTTTTCAATCTGAAGAAGCCACAGTGTGACTGGAAACTTGTCTTTTTTCAGCTGTATGTGTTGACTTAATTAAAGATATTACCTTCCTCATTTTACCTCCTCATTTACAAGCAGCCATGTGTTCATTTTTTGGTGAAGATTTCCCATTTGTTTGTTTTGATCTTCATTTTTATTCCTGCTTCCACTGTTTTGCGTGTCACCTTCTCAGGTTTTGTAGATGAGTAGTATCCCATGGTTGAGATCGATCTGGCTTATAGTGTCCAAAGATTTTCATGGGTAAGGGTCCGTTCATTCCTTCTTCTTTCCTGCACTTTTTCCTAAGGAGCCCTTGAGCCTGGGCAGAAGCCAGGGTCTCGATCAGGTGCTCTGGCAACCCATCTTACTCCTTGCTGCACTGCTTTGTGAGGACCAGATTTTTTTGCCATTCACATAACTTGACATCGATTTGGTTGGATTGTAGGAGCATGTACGGCCCCCAAACCGTGGGGGGGAGCTGCTTGTATCACATGGCAGCGCGCTTGCCTTGTTCACACCATGCACAACGGATTATGTATCTGACTGCGTGATCAACAGATGTTGGATCTTGAATTTTAGTTGTATGACTGATGGGCATTGAGTTGAGGAAGGACTATGAGTTGAGGTCTATGAACCTGCAGTACCTCCATCAGTCTGAAAAGAATATTTAGAAGAGGCCAAAACTTGACTGTTTCTTTTAGTGCCATTCAGGAGTATGACCCTGACCCTATTTGCCACATACACTGGTTTGTAGCTGCTTAAGAGCACATCTAGTTTAAAAGAAGACCTAGTGAACGACTGATATTATTGTGTTCATTATTAAATAAAAGAAGTGGAATAAACGGCTATTTCTAAGCTCTCCTGAAGTTGTTACTATAAGCTTAGGAGAGGATCTTTCCTACTGTAAATGAAGCATGGATATAGGGGGCCGGTTAGCTCAGTCAGTAGAGTGTAGTGCTAACAACACTAAGGTCGCGGGGTCGATTCCCGTTTGGTCCCTATGTGTTGCCTCATCGAGTCGAGAGGTGGTGTCCCTGGCGACAGGGAGGCTGGATTAAAATGATCTCTAAGGTCCCTTCCAGCTTAGACCATTCTGTGATTGTATGATATAGTTTGTAGATGGACTAATGAGTTTTGTTTAGGGTCAGAGAATCTTTGGCCTGCCAGGAATATACTTGATAGTTCAATCTCAAATTGCATTTACCAATGACCTGTGAAAGAAAGCATTTAATTCAATTGTTTCAAGTAAATTAACAAATAAATAAGCATGAAATACAAGATTCATAATGGAGTCCTGTTACTATCCTTTTCTTCAGCCCCTCCTCTCCCGGCTAGGCTGGTTTTGAGGCTGAAGTTACCTCGTTTAAGTGAATTCAGGTATCTACAATACTGCGGTCTGTAGTCTGTGCAAGCCATGGGAGAAAAGTACTCTGTGACTTAATTTATAGCTGTAGTGTATAGAAAACCAAACCTTTATCCCAAATGAAGAATAGTCCTGCATTCCTTTATTTCACCATGTCCCCTTCTGAAATGTAAATATATTAACAGAAGTGTGGTCTTGAAGAGAGTCTATACTTACATGGCTCATCTGACCATAGCTGCATCTATACTAAGTGACTTGGTATTTCGGATTACCTGCTTGTAATTGCATGCTTATTTACCAGCTGCTTCCTAGATTTATAATAATTTCATTTGCAATATATAACTGATAATTTGGAATTTGACTTTCCTATCAAATAATCATCATGTCATAAAGCTCTGTAGCTAGCAGTTACTTTATCTTTGATAACACAGTATAAAATAAATTATTACAGAATACTAAAGCAAAATGTGATGAGTGTTAGAAACAGTAAATGTGATCTGATGGTGTGGGAGGTATCCTTGGAGGCTTTGCTCCCCTAGCTAATAGAAAAGATTTCTGAATTCGTTTCACTATTTCACTAAGTAACTGGGAAAGCAAGTGTGCAAGCTCCCATATTCTTGAAACATTGGCTTTAAAGTGTGATTTCTGAAATTCATTAGAGCCTAAAGGAAGTTTTTTATTATCAATATGTATAAATGCAGTTACTGTAGTAATTATGTGCTAATTTACATCAGTACTGAGGCCTTTCCCACCCAGCCTGAAGATACAGGTTGCAGTCTGTGTAGCTAGATCAGATAGATATACTAAAAATTAGACTCACTCTACAGATGTTTCATGGTTTTGATAGATGACTGTGTCTGTCTATAACCAGCCTCAACATGAGCACATTTTTAAAACATTCAGGTTGCCAACATGGTAGCCCTTTTGTTCACAGCTGGGGTTTTTTTGTGTTTTTGTTTTGTGTTTTTTTTTCCCAAAGAAATACAGACTTATGTGCCCTGGATTTATCCTAAAGTAGGTGTTGTTTATAAATGAACTGCAGGAGTGAACATTTTTCAGAAAGGTAAAAGACAGACAGTTGGCTGTATGTAGACGGGCTTTTCTTCATTTGCAGATGACTCACTGGAAACAGATTGGAATTTTCATAATGACTTGTCATTCTCCTGTCACAATTTCAAATATGTCTTTTTTCTTTTCAAAGGCAAAAGTTTATATGATTGCAGCAGGGGTCATAGGAAGTGTGTATCTTCTGGGAATTGTCATTCTTTTTCTTGGAGTAAAGGAAAAAGACGGTAAGATATATTTAAATGTGCCTAGATTTAACAACAATTATTTCACATTCGTCTCTGGAAAAGATTTTTATTTTATGTATTCTGCTCCTCTTAGATCCTTATGCCTTAAATTCAGACAGAGCAATTCCTTTCTGTAAGGGGCTTGGACTCACCATGAAGCATGGTCCCTATGTGAAGCTTACAGCTTCGTTTCTTCTCATCTCGACAGCAGTTCAGGTAACTTCAGACTCTCTAAGTCTTGTGTGTTGGCCTCATTCCAGTCCCAGCGTGGGAGAGTTTGTGGCAGCTAAAATGCAAATAGCTTTTGGCTGGTGGCTGGAGGTGGTGATCTAGGGGGTGGTGACTTCCCTGACAAATCAGTAGGGAACCAGAGTCCTTTTTTGGCACCTGGCATCATGTGCAGCTGGAGATGGTTCCTTCAGACGAGAAACCAAAGTCCTGACCATTTGAAGGTGGCTTCTTTTTTTTTTTCTTTTTTTTTTTTTTTTCATGAAAGCTGAGGAACTAGTCCTAGTGACCCAGACTGGGTCATTATAAGTTACCCATCTACAGTTTCCTGTGGTTTCAGTTGCTTAGAGAATGTTTTTTCTCTTTTCTCTGTTCTTCTCTATAGTGTGTTCTGCTTTAAACCATTGCCCCTTTCCTTTGTATAGGTGGCTGTTCTCAGACAGTGGCTGAAGTGGTTCTTTTGGAGCCTTTTGTGATGGAAGGCCTTAGGTCAGAGTAAGAAGATGTTCAGAGGCAAGGGGTCTTACCTGTCTCAGAGCTAGATGGAGCTAATTTTCAAATGAGAACCTGCAGTTGAATCTGGCTCTCACAAAAAGATGTGATACATCCTCTCATAGGGAGAAACTGTAGAAAAACTTAAAAGCCAATCAGTAAGACACCCTTACTCCTCATTGTCCAGCAATCTTCTTAAAGTTTGATTTTTGAGCTGTGTTCACCTCAGTAGATATGTTATTTTAATGTGACCACGTACATATCAGTTGAAGTTGGTTTTATTTTGAAAAGCAAATAATATTTTTGTCAACAGGCTGTTAGTCACATGAGCCATTGATCGAGTGAGTATCAGGACAGAGGGCAAGAACAGGGCAGGTAAGAGAGCAGTGCTGTGTTCACCAGCAGTCGTGGTGAATTTCCTTGGAAAGGCTCCTTAGAAGTCTGTTTGCCAAAGAAGCACTGAAGCGCTGGTGGCCTGGATTTGGGCACGGTTAGTGGGCTGTCCTTTACAGCATTCCTCAGTCCTTACTGGAAGGCCCAAGGGTGAGAAACAGTAGCAGAAGCTTTCTGCTTACGTCTGGGAGCTGCAGGCACTGTGAGCAACAGAAGAGACAGGGAGAAGATGAAAGATGAGAGATCCCTTATGGTCCAGATCCTTCCAGCCTCCTTTCAGTCAGTAAGGGTACAGCACGTGTCAGGTTGCTACAGCCAACTACTTGCTGACAACACCCAGAGAGGAAAGATCTTCTGTCTGTCTATGTCTCTGCATTTTTCTGTTTGTACAGACTGAAGGGAAGGTGTGAGAGGAGGCAGAAGGTAGAAGCTCTATTGCTCCAGTTCAGCCAGCATGAGCAACCTTCACTATTGTTATTCAAGGGAGGGACACTGTGAAGTTTAGTGAGGGGATTACTGGTGAGCAAAGAAGTAGGCAGGTAAAGATGCATTGGCCATAATCCCAGAGTGTGATTTTCAACATCTAAAACAAAGCAATGTAAACTGGGACACGAGGTAGGGAAGGCTTTGGTGGCAGTGGAGAAGTGATATAGCTTTTATCCTAATTTTTATACAGATGATTGGCCACTTGTAATCTGCAAACACAGAAAGGAGCAAGAGTTGATCATACTGCTGTGGCACGAGTATTAAATCCTTCTCTGTGATTCCACTTCTGCAGAATTGCTAGAGCTGGCCCTAACCCTAGTCAGGTGTTCAGAACCCGGTTGAGTTCTGCAGAAGCGTGGTGGCAGTGGCTTCATCTCTCATTGTAACACAGTGCAGCTAGATCCTCCCATCTAGTGAGTACTCAGACTTCTGGGCCTGTCTGGCCCAAAGTTACAAACCATAGCCAACGCTGTGTGCAAAACCAGCAGCTGGCGGCTTTGCTGGAGGAAGCTGGCGTGAGTGTAATTGCAGCTGAAGAGTAACTTGTTTGAGGGTCAGAGCTTCTGGTGAAATGTGTATGGCATTGCTATGGAAAAGGAAGGGCAATTTCTTGCAGTAGCCTGCAGCTGTGGAAACACACCAGGCAATTGCACCGTAGGGAATAAAGCCTTAAGATAGAATCCTCTCTTAAGGCAGTTCTTGTCGTGTCATTTTTATGCTGTATCAGGTGTGTGGTTTACCTCTTGCTTGCCCTGGCGTTGTTGACATGTCAGTCCAGTGACAGCAGGAGAGTTATTGCTTATTTAGATTGTTGCAAGTAAAGGAAGAAAGGGATTCCCAAATTGTACATTTAACAAATCAGTCACCAACTATGTTTGGCTACTGTGGAGCGTGATGTTACTTTTGCCTTTTTAAATTTTTCTTTCTTTGGTGGTCACTAAATGTCTTAAATTCAACAGCTGGAGCAGAGCAACTTTGTTCTATTCTGCACTCATGCTGCTGGTCTTCGCAATCACTTCCAGTATTTGGTGGTGACCATCTTGGTGAGTTGCTCTTCTCTCCTCTTATTTGATATCTGGTTCTTGATTTTTTTGGGGCAAAAATAACAGAAGATGAAGTATTTTGTGTCCAGACAGAGCTCTTAAGAAGATATACTGTCTTTTGCATTGCCTGTTTGAAATAAAGCTGGTGTTCCCTGCTGTACTCAAAAATTAATGCTTTGCAGCTTTTAATTTATTCGTTGCTGTTTTTACATATAAGTCACTTTCTACTCCTATAAAGGAAAAAAAACTGCTGCCAGAAAAGAGGTCTGGAATTTTAGCTTCTTTTTCCCTTTCCAGTCTGATACACTGAAAATTAAACAACTTTAATTTGTGTATTCATACACATGAGCCGTCTGGGCTAGACAACTTGCAAGGATAAATATTTAAAATATCCAGAGATACGAGGATTCCTCTCTAGAGCAATTGGCAGTGTGATAAAAAGATCCTTTACTGAGCTTTTTTTCTTGACGTGCAGAGGTAGAATTACACAGAATCACAGAATCACAGAATTCTGCTTGCTTAGGTGATACTTGTAACTTAGTTACACGCTGCTCTTACACTGCATGATTTACTCTATGATTACAAGTAGTATTAGTTGAAAACTGTCATTTTTATCCTTTTGACTAAAGTCCTTTTAACACAAGTAGAACATTTAATGTTAAATAATTACTGGGAGGTGCACGCACTGCAGTTTTTAAATATTTTGCAGAGAATTTTTCTACGATACAGAATACTGCAGCAGTCATTTTCAGCAAAGTTATTTCATGATTTCTGACCCGTTCAGCACAGAGATGTTGTGGTACCATATGAGGGGAACTTAATTTCCACTTCTTGATCCTAGCCTCCCGTCCTTTCTACCCCTTTTTGATTTTTCCTTTCCCATGTTATAAGACAGATCTTTTCCAGTGATTAAAACCAAAATGTTGGAGAACTAGGGATGACTGTTATCAGTAAAGAGTAGAATATAACTGTAACAATGAGATGAAGTTTGAATTTAGATCAGTTGCAAGACTGTCATTTGTAGCAATACTTCAGTGCCTCAATACTGTGTTGCTTGTAGTTGTTGCTGTGCCCAGGCAAGCATGGCAGCGTATGAAGCGGTAATGCTGACTCTGAGCGACTGTTTCTCTTCCAGTTTGTTCCTAAGAACAAACATATAGTCTAAGATACGTACTCCAACTATGTTTTAAGATAAGTGAGTCTTGCACTTGAGCTCTCTACATGGGCATAGGGCTTCATTCACTTGTTGATCATGTTCAGATAATGAGGCAAAAGGCAGTAGCACAAAGTACAACTGTTTGCGGTATGTTTGAACTTCAATGACTGCTTCAACTATAGCTCTAACTGCTGTGGCTTACATTAAGAAAAGAAAATTTCAAGACACTGCCTTTTGATATTTGGCTGTGGAAAGCCCTCACATGGATAGCTTTTGTTTGTAATATGTAATAGTGAATAATAATACCAAAAAAAGTCAGTCAAAGGATGAGGAGAACAAGAAATCTGCAACTTCACCTTCCTTTCAGACTGTAACGTGCTGGACAAAAAAATGTCTGTGAGCTCTACAGATGAGGACGACAGTGGCAGTAAGTGCAATACAGACATGTGGGGTTTTGTCACTTGTAGGTATCAGCAGCTGTGAGCATTCCCTTCTGGCAGAAGTTTCTGCAGCGATTTGGCAAGAAGTGTGCAGCATGTGGAGTTTCGGTAAGCAGATCCTTTGAGAAAAAAATGTGCTTGTGCTCACTTCACTTGACAACTGGAGTCACTTCGGGAGCTCTTTCAAGTGCTTATAACCTCAGACGACATGGAATTTGCTCAGTATCAGTTTGTTTTAAATCATTATTCCAAATTGCAGACAGACTCCCAAGTTTCCAAGAGAAACTTTTGAGAAATGGGTTGATGCTAAAAGGAGGTCCCAGTTTATTTAAGAATCTGCACAAGCTCTGCTTTTGACTGCCTTCAGAAGTGAACCCCAATGAGGTGTTATAAATTCAGATCTGTGTTGCCTCAAGTTGACAAGATATGTGTCGTACAAGGCTTGTTTCGTCTTTCTTATGGTGCTGAGCTGAACGCTTCTGTAATTCAGTCACAGGAGGAAGCTGAGGTCTGTTAGACATCCTTCTCTGGAAACCGAAGGTGGCAGGGGTGCCCACATCCCTCTGAATGGAGATGCACAGTTATTAGTGAAATAAAGAAATAGGTGAGCTACCTGAGGAAAAAAGCCTCGTTTAACTTTAACACAGCTCTGCAAAGCCAGCTTAGCGAGCCTGCCCTCATATCTGATGGCGTGTTTTAAGTCCTTCACATAGTGCAGGCAGCAGCAATTTTGTGTCATCGTCCTCAGTGAGTTGTCATATAGGCTTGTTCCTCCCCATTTTCCCCCTGTTTACCTTCAGTTACTTACAAAAGAGGGAAGAAAAATTTTTTGTCTCATGCACACCAAAGCGTGAGGACTTGGAAAATCCAGCCTGAAGCTCTTTCAAAATCTGAACAAAGCTGAAAAGTTTAGATCTGGTGACAATTGTTGAACATAACTGAACAGTTATAATTTTTGGAATTAAGATCTGTGTGCTGGAATGACTTCCAAAGGATCAGAAATAACTTTAAAATACGCTGCAGCATTGTGTTTAATGAAGTAGGCATCTGGAATCCGAGTCCCATCCTCATTTCCTTTTACCACTTGAGCAAAGAGAATTGCCAAAAGCAGTGCTGGACCATTGACTGGACCAGGGAATGCACATTTCCTCCTTAGAAAATCTCCTCCTCTGTCTACTTGGCTACAAAAAATGCTTTCTTCCACCAAATTGGCTCTATAAATTTAGTTTAGCATGACTGGAAAGCCTGTCAACACCTCTGTAAACATGGTTTAACTTAATTTTACAGTTCAGTTGCTTGACTGTATTATAGTCTAAGTGGGGGCTGCATTGAAAACAAAGTCACCTCTCTGTTTCACCTTGTGGATACTTCTCAAGGGACTCAGCGTATGCTCAGTGATGGATTTTGTGTCTGGCAGTGCATCACAGGGGCTTCCTATACTACCGCCTTGTGTGATCTGTACAACTGATCTGTTCTCTCTCACTGCAAAATAAAATCACGTCCTTTCAGGCTCCTGTGTTTGTCACTGGAGAACATTCTTCTGGAAGGGAAGGAGACAGGGGAGAAAAGTTTTCTCCAAAACCTTACTGAGCTACCAGGGCAAAGATGTAATTTGAAATCTAGTTTCCTGAAAAAAAATTTGCACTGCTCCAGACTAAGTTTTTCTTTTAAAGTAGTTCTAAGTTGAAGAGACCCCAAAAGAGTTTGATGGGCAGGGTAGGTAAGTAAGCAACAGGAACTTGGCTCCCTTCCACTGATACTGCTTCCCTCTTTACTCAGCCCTCCACAAGAGATGACCAACACTCTAAGTACAGACTAAGTATCTAAACTTCATAGAAGTTTAAAGTACAGTATGCTTGGAGGCATTCTTCCCGTGACTGGGTTGGTGCACAGTCTAGAAATTATTCTCTTCTGTTTATCTCCTTCTGCTTCCACGTGCTATGTCCTTTTATATTGTCTGCTCTGCCCCCACGGGGCAAACGTTGAGTTTACAATCGGCTGGTGACTGGAGGTGAAGCTGTGTGTGAAACCTTAGTGTGACAGCTTCTTGGTTCCTGATTTTGGCAAGGTGTCTAAAAGTGGAAGACCACACTCTCTCACAACTCTAGCTTCCATCCTAGCCACTAATAGCTTTTGGCTGTGGGTTTTGGAGGGCTTACTGAAAAGTAAATCCCAAAATGCCCCCAATCTTTTCACCTCCCCACATACACGCAGTTGTTTCTTTGCCATCTCTCAGGACCGTGCAGCACGGAGGCATGCCCTGGGATGAATCCTGGCTGTTGCAGCGCCTCTTCCACTTCCTCATTTCCCCTCACATTCTAGCTGCACCTTTTCCTAATTTGCCCTTCATGATGTGTTGCTGCACAGGCCGGTACAACCTGTAGCATCCCTGTACGGTTGCCTTCCATAGTGCTGCCGGAAGAGACATGACGACTGTAGGCTGTCGTTTCCGACTCGGAGGGCAGCAGCCCTGCGGCTGGGAGGCAGGGTGCCAGGAACGGAGTATTTGCTTTACAAGGAGGAAAGAAGGAGATGTGTTAGCTGTTTAGTGCAGCAGGAACACTGGCTCCCTGATTGCACTGCCATGGCCTGAGTGAGACTTTAGGGCATTGCAGCCTCAGTCCTGCGGGCCGTGCTTCACTTTCCCTGGAAAATTACAGTTACGATGATTATTACTATTGATCTAGAATTTTGTTTAAGTGCTTTGATTTCTGAGTGGGTGCCCCATGTGAAGCATAAGGCAGTCATAAAATTGCTTATAGGCAGCATAAAATCTTGTATTGCTGGAGTGCTCTCTTGTGGTGAAATAACGATTTTGCCACAACGTTGGGCTAATGCAAGGTTGCTCTGGGAACTGACAGTCAGGACAGGTTATTTTCTGCCTTCTTATCGTAGGAGCAAATGCTTTAGATGGGAAATGCATTTAAAACATAAACATAATGGATTAGACTCCAGGACTCCCAGAATCACTTATCACGCTGAACTGTAAATAGCGGTGTTTAGAGGAATCACTCTCTGTGAAAGCTTTTTGCATACCCTCAGCTCCCAAGCTGCAAGTATAGAGGATTGAAACACTTAATGTTAAACTAATCCCCCATCATTAAAAAGCCCTGTGGATAAGCCCCTGGTTCAGGATTCTACATGTGCTGTGCCCATGATTCACAGACGTGGGAGATGGAGCATGTGATGAGTACAGGACAGCTGGGCTGTGTGCAGTCAATCAGCATTTCAAATAGTGGGTATTCAGTCGTGTACGTTCATTGCCTCAGGTTGAAGTTGAGGAAATCTGGTGGCTTTAAGTACTGCCAGAAAACAAATCCTGAGCATCCCATATTAGTTTGGTTTTCAGGGTAGCCTCGGTGACTTGTACAACATCACGAGCATATCTGTCTGCATGGAGTAGCAATAAACCACTCTGCCTTTCTGGTTTTAGTTATTGCAGAATTTCTAAATTGGTTTGAAATGGTCACTACTCTTCTTCACTGAAGACTCGTCTGTGAAATGGGATGTTACAGAGTTTAAAATGAGCCTTGAAGCCCTGCCTCTCCCCTTGAAATGCAGTTTGTACTTTTAAGTTAGATGCACTGTTTTTCTTCTTCCGCAGTGGATGATTCCCTTTGCAGTCATGCTAGTGACCATTCCAAACGTGATCCTGGCATACTTCGTGGCCTTCGTCTCTGGTCTGAGCATTGCAGCGTCTCTTCTGTTGCCATGGTAGGAGAATTTCACATCTGAGGTGGGGAAGGGGAAAATGTTTACGTTACATATATGTACTACTGCATGGAATTTGCCTCTGAAAGAGGCAGAATTTGGCAAGAGTCACTTCTGTCAAGAATCTTTTTCTGCTTTTGTAATAGAGGCTATTAGCAATGATGTGCCTTTGGTTGCCCTGTTGTTAACAGATTATGTCCACTGTAACCGTAGCTGCTCTTTGTATACGAGTATGTAGATGAATCAATAATCTAAGTAGTTACAGAACATGTGGTGACAGTAAATCAGTTGCTTAGGTTTGGTTTCTAACGTAACTACAGGAATGATGATGTTAGATAAATCAATTAATGCCAAGCAATTAAGAACGTAGCAGAGGAAATATAAGCCAAGCTACATATCTCTGCTTGAGCAGTCCTCTGGTACAGATCAAATAACAAAAGGATGTGATTAAAAGAAAATGAGAATTCAAGGTCCTTTGCTCTCGAGGACTGAAAATATGTGGGGAAAAAACTACTGAAGGTTGAGCTGGATGGGGTGTTTCCTCTCCAGATGGAATAATTCAGGTCAGACTGACCAGAAAGCAAGACCATTGCTGAGGGAGCTGTTTTGCATTACTCAGTTGCACAATGCCCTGAAAACACCAAGAGGTCATGGAAACATAGTTTGAAATAAGCTTTCAGACTCCATAAGCTTTTCTGTACAGAGGGTGAGAAGCACTTTTTGCCAGCAGTAAATTGTGACATATATTGGAAATAAAATGTCAATTCACAATTGACATTTGAGCAAGTTCCATTGTTTCCCCATTGCTAAATTCGATCTTTTTGAAGAAGGGAGAGAATAGGCCTCACTGGTTTCTGAAAATTTCCTTAGGTTGTCAAAAGAACTATTTCAGAGCAAAACTATTCAGAGACTCAGAGTCCTCTGAAATCTTAAGAAAGGTAGTTTTTCATTGTTTTTTTTTTTAATATCACAACTTCTGATTGGAATAGCAGTCAGTCTATAGAATTCTGTCACCTCCCAGCAAGTGTCTGATAGTTTTTCAGCTGATTTTCTACTTTGTAACATGTGCCCATGTGTTTCTTACATGGATTTTTGCCCACCTGTCCAGCAGTAGGGCTGTTTGAACTGGATTCTTGCATGTGTGTGACTACATCAACCAGATCTTAAAAAGGGGGGAGAGGTGTACTCTTTCAGTAAGTTTGGACTTCGAGAAAAGATTTTGGCTTGAGTTGGTTTTTTATGTGCTCATGTCTAGGTCAATGCTGCCTGATGTTGTTGATAACTTCCGCCTGCAGAATCCACATGGGAAAGGACATGAAACCATTTTCTATTCCTCTTATGTTTTCTTTACCAAGATGTCAGCAGATAGGAGTTTCTGCAGCAGGTCTGGAGTAAGTAACACCATGTTACTTAGTGGATCTACTCTGAAAGCATTCTGAGGTTACTCCGCCTTTACCTATGGAGTTAATTACCTTTTTTCTTTAAGCCTGAAAATGCCAGTAGCTCCAGATGTCTAACCACTAAGGACAGCATTGTTACCATCTAGGCCAGACCACTAAGCATTGAGTTGCCTGCCCTAACATGTTTCAGTTCAGAAAGGCCTGACTTGGCTTTAGATTTTCTTCCAGATCACTCATGTAAATTTTAGTGGTTTATATGAACAAAGAACTAAACATGGAAGCTCAGCAGATGAAGGTCTCTCACAAGTGATACAGCAGCTTTGTGTATTCTCTGTTGCATCTGGTTTGGAGTATGTACACGAGCTTGGAATGTGGTCAGAATGCTTTCAGTGGTGCCTAGTGGCTTGTCCAGCATAAAAGGATCACAGATTCCTGCGTGGTTTTAGGGAACTGGACGCTGATCTGAGTCAGGAAGAGCATCTTTCTCACAGCTCTGCCCATCACCTAGACCACGTCCGTGTTGAAGATGTTTTGTGTTCTCCTTCCACTTGTGCCATGTCTGTTCTGACGAGACAGTCAGGTTGAGAACGTGGGCAGAACGTGGTCCCTCCCTGCTTTTGTGCACGACCAAGCAGAAGGGGCCTTTGCCTGTAGCTGCTAGAGCACACACGGATGTGGTAAATCCTGTGAAGGGAATTTGTCTGAAATACTATCTAGCCTTTGGCTCCAAATTAGGTCTTGGTAGCCAAAATGTTTTGCTCCAGGGCCTTCAGCTGAAACTGCTAAATAACAAGCAGTGCTTGGCTGAACATTTTGGGTGTAGGAATTTTATATGCTTACCGCTAACACCCTCAAACAAATTGCTGTTCACCAATTAGCCCCTTTTCAGTTGCGTTCCAGTTAGCTTCCAGCAATTTGCCATGGCAGATGTTTGTGGGAGAGCACAGAAGACGAAGTGATGCCAAATGAGCTGTGGCTTTCATAGGTGTGGGTTCAGACGAAAATAAACTCATTCCACAAACTGGGAATGGGCATTTGAATATATCAGCAGTTATAGGACTGCATGGAAGCCCTGAATCAATGAACTGTAAGCCTGTAACTACAAGCACTTGAGTAAATCTGTATATCTTGAGAAGAGTTCTTAAGTGTATGTTTAAATTAAAGTTAATTATTGCATACTTTTAAAGTGGAGCCTAAATACTTTGCTGAACAGGAAACACATAACAGATCAGTTTCCTTACACGGGATTCCATGCTCCTCTCAGTAGTTAAATGTTATATAATAATGAGAAAATACAGAATTAATGCCATTATCTGAAATTATGAACAACTGCCTTTTAGCTGTGCACATGCACACACCACTGTTATTCCCATTTGTTTAGGTTTGCTGGATACAAGCCAGGGACATGCCGACAATCCAACGATGTGATCCTCACGCTGAAGATGCTCATTGGCGCAGTCCCTGCTATCCTCATCCTTGCAGGTTTATTTATACTTCTTTTCTACCCCATCACTGAAGAAAGTCGGAAAGAAACAAAGCTTGCACTTGACGTGTTAAGGTAGGTTTGAACTGGCAACAAACAGCTGTAACATCATTGCAAAAGCTCTTAGTCCTCCTGGGAAAAAATTATTAGCTACCAACACACACCCCTATACTCCTCACAATAAAAGAGAATGACGCGCTGTTAATTGAATTATTAATTGAACGGTACCATCACATGTTCCAGTGTCTTATTTTTGTAGTCTAGTGCTATGTGCTTAGAGGACCATTTATCAGATACATCAGCTGCTGCATTTTACTTTTTCTCTGGGGTGGCACACAAAACACTATTGTGGTACAGTGCTTAAACCCAGAAATTAAGAACATTCTGTATAGATTAAATTTCTGGAGAAAATGTGAATAGTTACAATTTACTTGTATATAGAAGAAAATGGGATTCTTGACTGCATTCTTAGTATTTATGGCATATAAGAAACATCCAAACCATTTAGAGGCGTAGGCAAGAAAGATTGTGGGAGAAAAAGAAAGGACATCTTTTTTCACCCTGTCATTCTCCCCTCCTCCCCTTTCCTCCCTCTCCAAAGAAAATCTTGCCTGACTCAGAATCATCTACCTCTGTCAAATGAGCCCTTGGTATACTGAGGGCATACACAGGAACAGTCTGTCCTAACAGACTGATGGATTAAATGGCAAAATACGTCCTTAAGCTGTCTTGTTTTTATTATCCCCAGTTACTGGAGTTAGAAACTGATTTTCCTGTCAAAGGATCAATTCCAGGGCCTAAGCATGGGGATCTGGAACCCTTTCAGGGCCGTGAGGGGTCTAAGATACCTGCACAGGGTTGGCAGATACACCACAGGCCTGTGTGCACCAGCTGCTGTCTCAAGTGGCGGCTGCAGACCGGAGGCGACAGGCCGAGCAATCAAAAACCATAGACTGGCCCAGGCTGGAAAGGACCGTAGAGATCATCTAGTCCAACCTCCCTGTCATGGGCAGGGACGCCTCTCAACTAGATCAGGCTGCTCAAGGCTCTGTCCAACCTGGCCTTGAACCCCTCCAGGGAGGGGGCAGCCACAGCTTCTCTGGACAAATTATTCCAGAGTCTTTACACCCTTGTACTGAAGATTTTTTTCCTGAGATCCAATCTAAATCTATTGTCCTTTAACTTAAACCCATTTCCCCTTGTCCTATCAGTGGACACTCTTGGTCCCTCCCCAGCCTTCCTGTAGGTTCCCTTCAGGTATTGGAAGGCAGTTATTAGGTCCCCCTGAAGTCTTCTCTTTCCAAGACTGAACAATCCCAGCTCCCGCAGCCTGTCCTCGTAGCAGAGCTGCTCCAGCCCCTGGATCGTCTTTGTGACCTCCTCTGAACACGCTCCAGCAGATCCACGTCCCTCTTATTATGGGGGCACCAGAACTGGGTGCAGTATTTGAGGTGGGGTCTCCCAAGAGCAGAGTAAAGGGGGAGAATCACCTCTCTTGACCTGCTGACCACGCTTCTCTTGATACATCCCAGGATGCGGTTGGCCTTCTGGGCTGCATGAGCGCCCTGCCGGCT